AAGCATTTTCACGACACTCGAGTGCCATTCATAAATCAAGTTGCAACCCCTTGGAGCGGAACTGCAGCACTTGGTTCTGGTACTTGCCTCATGTGGCAAATTGAATTTCATTACATAAAAAGCTTTTGCTTGGCATCTTTTCTTTTGCCTTTTCATTATGTGACTTTGGCCTTTTACGTTGATTTGTCGGACAATTGCATAAAATTTATTTTTGATTTTTCTGTCCAGCTGTACACACCCCGCCACACCCTCCTCGTACACACCTAGACCCCGCCCCCCGTAAAGTGCTCTTAATGTTTGTCAATTATTTGCAGTAATTTGCAATATTTCTAAACGCTTCGCCTGGGATTTTCCATTCGAGAACTACCCTAAATTGTTTTTAATGGCCATTTGCACTTACATGACTGTTGAACTCGGCATCAGTTTCAGTTACCCCTCGCCCGACACCCCCTCCTGTTGTTTCTAATGGCTTCATCATCTAAGCTTCCTCCACAGTCGACAATAAATGGCCTACAAGCACTCTCCATGTGATTGTGGTTGTTTTTATTTAATTTATGGCCCAAACTAAATGTTATTTATTTACCTTTAAAAATCGACACAACTAAACAAATAGAAAAGTTAGTTCGGCTCATGGTCAAGTCCAGAACTCTGGGGGACACTTCCACCTCCAATGCTGGGAAATTAATTTTCCCATAGTTGAGAGTCATTAAGCGCTCGCTGGGGGGCGTGCCGCAGGTGTTAAAAATGTATTTAAGTCAAATCTTTAACAACAATTTGTTTGGTGAAAATGCATAAAACTAGCCACAGGCAGCGCAAACAACTCGATTGAACCAATAAAAATGCGGTGTGTGACAACCCGAAGATTAAATACCCTCTTCGACGTATGTTTGCCTGCATACATATATGCATACATCGATACATGCATACATGGATACATGCATACATGCATACATGCATACATACATGCGTGCATACATGGATACATGCATACATACATGCTTGCATCCATACGTACGTGCATGCATACATGCGAAAAGTTTCCTGATGGACAGGCACAACTATACCAACTCGACTGATCGAGAATATATATAATTGATGGAAACGAAAAATTCTTTAAGTGTTACATATTTTTTTTAGAAATAAAAATACCCTCTGCAAGGGCATAACAAGCTAAGACTCCAACAAATTCGAAAACTCAACGAATTTGAAACTCTCCTCTATTTCATTCACATCAATGGCCCGCGGTGTCTCTTTGTTTGGCGTTGTTTTTCAATTTTTCTTTTATCTCCCGAACTCTGGTGCTCGAGTGACTGCAGCAATTATGTTTATAAATGATTTGTTGGGGTGGTCTGGTCGGTGCTCTCGCCTCGGTGGTTCGCCCTCCCTCTAGCTCTCGGTGTTGGTAATCCTTCATTTCATCCGCATTGAACGGCCATAAATAGCTAAAGAATTATGTGTGAAACCATTAAAATTTATTTTAATTTCTGTCAAAGCCTTTGGGGCACTGCAACCGCATAGTTTTATAATATTTTTTACATGCATATAAACCATATAAGGGCTCTAGCGTATCTTGCTTGGAAGTGATTTTGGCTTTTCATTTTGGAATTTTAGTTTATGACTGGCTGGCGGCTAGTTCAACAGATTTTTAATTGCTGTGCTTGGGTTTTGTTTATGTTTTCCAATGTTTTTCTTTGTTTTATTTAGTATGTTGGATGGTTAAGCACTGCCCTGTATCATAAATCATTTTGGCTCTACGGAACCATCATGGCTATGTTTACGCATATATTGTGTATGGGCGTGCATATTTTAAACAGTTTTCAGCGTTTTGCTTTGATTTATTTCCATTTATTTATGTTTCTCCAAAAAGTTTCTGGTTTTTCCAATCAAAAAATATTGTGTATAAAATAATTCGAAATGGGGCTTTGAATAGTTCAATGCACTTATCTGCCGTGGCATTAACTTGTCTGTTCTATTTGACTTGCCACATCGTTTCCAGCAAATTGAAGACTTTCACACTGAACACTTCACTATCTCCAAGTAATTTATCAATAGACGACAGCGACTTAGGCAACAACCTCTATAACAAGCTTTAGTTAACACAATATTTTCGACATTTTCCCATCAACTTGTTGTGGGGGCTTCGGATAGACGCCCCATTTCTTGAAGCGCCCATTGCATTTGAATTTCTCACACATTACGTTACATATCAAATATTTATATACCCCCACAGTTTCTTCTCATACCCTGTACCCTTTGAAATTAGGTGAGGCTTTGTATAGCAGATAACTATACTTGAAATTTGAAATAAAGCATATCCCCTCATCTATCAACTTAGAATACCTTTATTAATTGAATTTTAATTAACTCGAAGATATACTAAACTTGGATAGTTTCTTGCTTAGTAGTTTGTATACCTTCCCACAGTTTCGCCCATGTTAAGAATTCGTACAGCTAGATTTGTGGGTTCTGGCATGCAGTTATGTGAGGACGTCCTTTTTGTATACATATCAATTTTTATAACGATTAATTTTATAAAGATTGCCATTATCATCATACAGTTTTGGCTAAGAGAAGATGATGCACAAACGTGCTGGGATCCTTTATGTACAAGTATAGAATAAATCGAATGTTTCTAATAAACGACGCTGGGAACAGGGTATCTCTGACTCGAGACCTACCGACTAGTGCAGTCTCTATGCATTTTTTCTTTTTCTCCGATAACGCCCACATTAACAAGAACTTTGAATTGGAACTGAACATGTACCAGCAATAATAAAAACGATTTTCCAGCAGCACAAACAATTATACGAGGCATAAATTAGGCACAGCCCCGCGTTGAATAAATAATTTCCTGTACGGCAATTACTAAAAAAAAAAAAAGAAAAGAACTACCACATAAGTAACTGGCCAAGCCGCATGCATGGAAATTAGATGGGCCCCAGTTCGGGGCACGAAATTCTGTTTTATTTAATTCGAGGCAGGCGCTGAATGCACTGCAAATGAGTTTGGGTTTTGTTAATGCCCGTGCATGATACACTTAAATGCTGGAAAAATGGAAAAACCTCCATAAAAAACGTGACAAAATGCGACCGATAGCATAAGTGTGACCCAACTTCCATTTCCACAGACCACAAAGCGAGAAATACTTGATAAGGTGAAATTGTTCTAGGGATCATTTATGGGGTGGGCCAGGGACTCGTTGTTTCTATTTCGAATACCCTGTATGCATTAGAAAATTTTTGAAAACGGGTATAAAGACTTGTGGAAATGACTGAAGTGGGCTGAATAAGGTATCTCCGGACCTGAAAAGAATGTAAGCTATTTCTCTCCTTCTATATGAACGATTATATAATTTATTGCTCTCACATTACCACAATGTGAGATAATCCGAGATATTTCGATAGATATTGTATTTGAAGCAGGTTTTTTCTATAGCATAGCTAAGAAGTATAATATTTATGTATGCATGGGGAGTTCTAAAGTTTGCAAGGGCATCTAGGAGCTGGGTACAGGGTATATGGCAATCGGGCAAGCCCGAATAGTACACTCTTGTATTTATTTACATTCCCACTTCAAAAACACAAATAAATCGTAATTGGCGTGCGAGGGGTCTGCATTTTTTTTTATATAATGTGCAATAGAGCGCCGCATCGAGTTGTATTTTTATTTTCATGCTCATTAAATGAAAAGCCGAAAAACCGAAAAAAAGAAAAAAACCCAGAGCATGGCCAACATGAAAATGCGTAGCGTGAAAAACCCAGGCAGCGGGAAAACTAACGCGCTGGCGTTTGCGGTTGCTTTCCCTTTGTTGCTGTTGTTGTTGTTGTTGTTGAAAAGCGGAAGTACACGTTGGGTTATCACAACTGGAAAAATCTATCGATAGCGCCGAGCTGATAGCGTCTGCTGCGGAGCTGCTGAAGGTGCTGCCCCTGGCTTTGTTCGGCCGAAGATCTACAGTGGCGATAGAACAGTGCGAACAGCTGCCAAATATTTGAGGAGGGACGCCTTAACCCTGACGTATTTTAATTTTTGCGATAAGTCGAGAAAACAATGGCAAGCATAGATCTTGGGCATTGACTGGCTTGATAAACGATATATGCTAGTAACAAGTCGAAATCAAGTATTTATTATATAAATGTCAAACAAGCTGCGGGCATTGTCTTCACTTAGAAGACGTTGCCTCAGATGCACATCTTTCACACTCGAAGAGCTCATTAGTGTATCTAGAGACTGAGACTGAAGGTCCATGCGTAGCGGAAAAACCCTTAAGATTAATGAACTACAAAACATGGACACAAATCATATGTAATAGCTGCCAGGCTGAGAGGCTTTCTGAGCTTCTCTGGAACAAATGTGTGACAATTTCTCCAAAAAAGGATGCGTCGTCTAGGCAGGCAGGCAACACCCCAACCAGAGACGGCTGCTAGGTGTCAGGGCCAAGTGACAATGTCACACATAAAAAATAAAAATAAATGAAATATATATGTATAACATATAACACATGCCTGAGCAGGACACGCAGCGCTAGCGTCTCATTTTGCCGCATCCTGTGCGGCGCGACCAATGGCAAGGTGCACCAAGAACGCGGCGCCATGGCGTGTCTGCTACGTGTGTGTGTGTGCGATATAGTATGTGTTTATGTCTGCCACATGTAATCAGAATGAAGACATGTGCATTTAGGCCGTTGAGCTCCGCAGGCTCGTTATCCTTTTACTCAAGCGACGAAACAGGCATTTGGCTTGTCTTTCGAATTAATGGCAGGCCAAGGCCCAGGGTTAAGGGCACAAGGCGCGACCAGCTGCCGGGCTGCATTTAAATATTGCCATGCCTATGCCCGTGAATTTTTGGAAATTTGATATTTTTTTTCCTAGACAACAGCCTCGGCTGGTGTCGGGGTCGGAGAGGAAGTAATTTTCGATATGGGCGCCGGTCGCCTTGGCCTTAACATACACGTATTTGTTTGGAATTAATGAAATTTAGACATAAAAATGTTTTTCCAGCCAGCAAACAGAGCGTCCCGTGTTCCCGTGTTCCGTGGCCCGTTTGATGCTGCTCATGAGGGTAATCAGCGGAAATTGAGTTATCCCGAAAGGACATTATGACATATGCCATTACAGGATCAAGATTTGAGCTGGGCTGAGCTGGCTCTTGTGTAGCAAAAACTCGGACTACTTTAAGTTTATTTTTGAGCCTGATTTGTGTTTGGGTTGAAGCAGCTCACAGAGTTGAATAAAGTAAATATAGTAAAAAAAAAATTCCCTTTGAGTTTACAAAAAAGTTTCAAGCTTAAAAACTGCTTGCATTATTTTTATACACTTTCTAGGTCGAATATTAAGTTCTCTTGCGTTTCTTGGGATATCTGAAGCCAGCTTTGCATAAGAGCATAATCTTATTAGGAACTCAAAAAATGTAAAAGATATCTTGACCAAAATCAGCTAGTACAAACCTTCATTTTCTACCAACTAAACGAAAGCCGACCCGCATCGATCTACTACTTATAACGATCGATCCCTTGCATAACATCGCGTCTTTGTCACATGTCTGCAAGGCCAGTTAATCTTCTTGTTTTTCACATGAGCTCTTTATGGGCGCGTCTCTGTTGTGCTCAGCTATGATCTAATACCCTGCCGCCAGTCACATGAAACAGTATCTCTAATATTCTAAGCCAACTACACCCGCATCCATAATCGCATTGCCAAGGCAGGAGAGGCCTTCTGTTGGATGAAGATGATGCGGCCAAACAAAGGCGCAAAAATCCGCTTAATGCGATTTTCAAGTGGAAAGCAATGAGCCTGTCCTCGCAGTACACCTTTTCCAGAGCCATATACTTATTGCATTTCCAATTTTCAAGGCTGCGCCAGTTGGAGGAAGATAATATGCGAAACAATGCCAAAAACTGGCACAAAGCAATGCGGAACACATACAAAAAAAAATGGTTGAAAATGAATGATGAAATGGGAAAACAAAGCCAAGTGCCTGACTGTCTGGACGGGCGGCCCATTGTGCGCGTTGAAGTGTCCTGCCTAGAAACCATGAGACAGACGCCGAGCCAGACCCAGACCTAGACATGGTTCGGCTTTACGCTTCAGCGAGAAATGCATTTGGTTTTTTTGTTTTTTGGCAAGGGCAAAAATTTATAGTGCAACGCGAAGTTAATGACGTTGCAATTGAAAACAAACGAGAAATAATGAGTTTTTTTTGTTGTTGTTGCTGTATCCTTGAGAAGCGTTGCCAAAGGACGCGCCATGTCGTCTATATCAACCGCAACATGCAGCAGCAGGCAGCAGCAGGCAGACAGCCCCGAATCAAAGTCAATTTCGTTGTGGCAGCTGCTGCGACTACCTGTGCACGTCAAAGGTAACCATCCACGGGCAACAATGTCCTGCACAATGCCAAATTTAAATGCGGCTGTCAGCGGGCAGTCCGGCAGTCGTACAATAGGGCGAGCAAATTAAAAGAAAATATAAATGCTATTTCATAAACTGAAATCGATGTCTAATGAAGTCCCCTGGCCCCCACACCCTTGGCAGTCATAAATGTACCCTGTGCAGAGTGTAAAAGAGGGTATATTTTTGTGCCATGTCTTTCTTGTCAGTTGTCCAAGTCTGCAGACTTGAAGTCTACTTAGACAGGGTGTATAAATATGCTGTCTAGTGGATAGGCATAATAGCCCATTTGGATGTCCGTCCGGAGGGTATTCTGTGGGCATGTATAAAATTGCAAGGTCAGATTTTGAATAGAGTAAGCTTATATAGACTTCGTCTAGACATTACAACTATACATTAATCCGGGATGCGAACCAGCGATCTTTAGAGGAAGCCTAGACTCAGGCAGAGATCTTTTGACTGCTGTTTATTATGAACAGGGTATGGCTTAGTCGCTTGCAGCCGATTGCAACGTTTGTACTCAACATTTTATGTTGGTGTGGGGGGGGGGGGGGGGAAACACAAGAATACTCTTAGTCAACAGACAGCTGTCATAAGCAGTGAGCGACAGAGTTGTCAGCTAGTGTGGCGTATCTTTCAGATACAAAGCGGACCAATTAAGCCCCCGCTCCGCCCCGCGCGACTGTCGCCCCTGTCGCTCAACCCTTTGCCGCTTGACTGCCTGAAAGTATTTTCGTATTTGTGTTTATTTTGGTAATTCAACGCATCAATTTAACCCTTTTTCGCATTGATGTCTTTTAAATGTGAGCGCTGCTTATGTAAATATTTTGCTTGCCAGTCGCTCGCTCGCTCGCTCGCTCAGTTAGTCAGTCAGCCCCTGATGTGTTGGTTAGTGTATCTTGTAGCTTGTATTGTGTGTCTGTGTATCTGTGAGTGTGCTATTTGCATAACTGCAGCCCGCATCTAGCTCGGACCCGGCGCCGGTCTGAGCCTTTGGCCAACCCCCTTTGGGTAGCACTTTTGCTGCTGTTTGTTTAGCTCGTCGCCAGTCTCAATTACTTTATTGACATCGCCGTCTTTGGCAATTGTCATTTTCAATTTTTCAACATTTTTCTACACATTTTTCCACATTTCGCATTTTGGCGGCCAAACGAGTGCATTGCACAGATTGCAACCCAGTCTGAAGTCTGATTGATGGGGCCTGCGATTCAATTGTCAGCGGTTCGTAATCAAATTGGCTTATGTAAACAATGCAATTGAAGCATTTTCTATTTTTAATTGCAAGCCAAGTTGAAATGTCAAGAGGCATATGATTTATGAGTGCCAAATGAGAAACATGCAGAAACAACAAATAATGGTTGGCAAAAAGTGAATACCCTTGTGGACATGTGGCTTTCGGCTTAGCAGATATGTCAGGAGATTCGTGAAGTTCGTAAATGCTGAGTTTGGCGAAGATGACTTGAGAATAAGGCACATTTCCATACAGAAGATATTTTGATGTAGTGATAAAGTTTTCCAGAAAATAACCTAATTTCCAACCAATGTTTTCTACTGCAGCAGCTTTTTAATCTAGAGGTCCAATCCCATGTAGTCTCAAATATATATATATACTCCTTCTAGGCGTTACATATTCAATGGCAAATCTATAAAACCCTCTGCTTTAATGCTAGTGAAGTTCTCATCAACTTAAAATGCAATTAAAGCTAAAGCTAAACTTGTGTTAGTTTTGAAGTCCTGCAATCGTTATAAGCACAATCAAAGACATTACAACATTAAGATTGAATCGCAGCTAAATACAAAATAAAGTACATAAATCAAAGCTGGAAAAAGACCAGCTAAGAGCACTGCCAAAAGCACAAATACAAAGCGTTGGCAGCATTCGGTATATAAATTATGATTAGGACTATTATCAAAGCATCAGGCAAGCACAAAAGCCAGGCAGGGGAAGAGGGGGCGAGTTGTTACAAACGACATGAAAAATTGTCATTAGGCAAACGACAAAAGGCAGCCAGAAAGTAGCCAGAGGAGAAGAGAAAAAAGTTAAGGCCAAGTCAGCGGGCAAAAGTTAGCTGCGGCTTTTCATGCTTTGCCGCAAAAATTTGTGGTTGGCTAAAAAGCCAAAAAAAAAAACATGCCAATACACACACATGTGTGTGTGTGTGTGGCGTGGGTGCCAAGGCGAGGACATAAATCATATCCTAGTATGCCGACTACGCACTCGGCATGAGGACAAATGTTGATGATGACAAAGCGCCATTAAAGGCACATTTACACAGATCCCGAGTTTTGGTTTTGGGCTGATGCTAGAGCAGGCCTCCGGCACCTACTTCAAAAGGCGTCAATTGCCATAAATCAAACGCGACATTTTGCTTATTATTTACCGATTTTTCCGATAAACTCTACAATTGTGTGCGTGTATGCGTGTGTGTGTGTGTGCGTAGCTTATCAAGATTTGTGGCCATAAGCAAAAGTTTGACATTGCCAATTGATTGGAAAAGTCGAAATAGGAAAAGATTCAAATGCGAAAGAAAAACTTTAATTTGAAACTTTCTAAGCTCGGCAGCTTTTAACTTTTAGGCTATGTGAGATATCCTTTTAATTTGTATTTATTTGAAAAACTATAAATTAAGGATGCCTGTTGTAATCAACACAGAGGAGCCGGAATGGCATATATGATATATGAATAAATTAAATTCATTTTCCATACATCTTCAATTATGTCATATATGTATTTTTTTGCAGTCCTCCCCATCCAATCAACATGATACCCAAAGTTATATATTTTAAGTTAAATAAATTCCTTTGAATACCTGTGTGTCCTGGCTATCAAAAGTTATTGTGTGGCCATCAAAGCAGCCGCTTCGTGCTCGGTACTCGGAAAAGCGACCAATTAGGAATGCTATTAGCGGTCAACGCCCACCTATTTGGAACCGTCTACACCTACAGGTAAAATATAGCCAGTGGGTTTACCTTTGCCTTTTTTATAAAGATATTTTTTTTCTCCCTCTCTCTCTCTCTCACTTTCTCTCTCTGCTAAATGAGCAAAATGCGGCCGTCTTTTCGGCTTTTGCCGTACGCTTCAATTACGTTTTTCATAATTTCCCACGTCGTAAAATTTATTGGTTTTGATGGCTGGCAGTTTAGCAGGTCGCCGGCTCAGCCGCAGCGCAGCATCAGCATCAGCGACTTCCGCTCCACTGGCTCAGCTGCTGGGGGCGTGTGTGTGCTCCTGCTGCCTTGAGGTCCTGCTGTTAAGGCTGTGGTCTCTGCTCTGGCTCTGTGGCTGTGCCATTAATTGTATGGCATTTAGCTTGAATTATTAAATTGATTTTTATTCATTTTTAATGCTGACATTTTCTTTCGTTTTTGGAAAATCGACACTTTAATGGCTTTTCATTTAAAGCTTAAGGCTTTACAGTCTGCAATTCCCCAAGGGAGCTGTCAGCTTTTGGCAGCTGCTGCTAAGCCTCTCCATTAGCCAGCTGACATTCAGAGCAGGTGGGGCATTTTAAACTAAATGCCACACACAGGAGCAAACAGCCGTCACAGCAGCAGCAGCATATGCCACATGAGTCATCAATCAGGTCGCTTTGGATAACCACCAAGAACTTGACATTCCCTTTGGCCGACGCGTTGCATGCAACCCTTATGCCACATAGATCGCGCTTCCTTCTGCATTATTGTGCAATTTTGCGCTTGGCCACACGCACACACACACACACACACACACACACACACACACACACACACGAACACACATTTAAATTGTATCTAAGCAATAACAATTCAACGCTTCAGATTGTTAGTTTCGTCTTTGCATGACAGGACAACATTTCGGGCTTTGGGCTCGCTTCGTCCTGCCTCGTCTC